GGTCCTCAGCGAAGATCGAGGACCCTCGCTACAACACCTCAGCCTGCTGGGCGCTCGGCCACGCTAGTCAACTGTTCATACAGGTGTATTGGGTTTCCAGTATACAAAACTCACAAGCATGGCGGCATGCACCTGCCTGAGAGAGACTTTGTACCAAAATAAGAGTTTACTCGACGAAGATGCTCTGGGAGTGAGCCGACCACCCCTCATGTAGCGAGGTTTCCCGCTGTGCAGGGCGACGCTATTAAGTAAAACCTCCGCAAAGAAATGAGTTTAAAGCTACGAATTAAGATATAAATAATTAATTGAGTACACTAAGGGTACAACATGCTACAAGCAAAAGGCCTCACCAGCTGCAGGCAGAAGACCTGGGCCTCCGCAGTGTGCCCCCCCCCTCCCCCCGCCCGTGTTACGGGACCTCCACCGTGTGTGCTCCTGGTGTTCTTGGATGTGTGGGTGGATGGCGGGTTATAATTAAATAAGTGAAGTGTTGACAAGTATTAATTGATTTTATCTCTACACATCTGTGTGTTTTCGGGGTTCCTGCTCCGTTCGGCGCTGGCGAGGTGAGGGGCAATGAATGCAGGAGGGTGTCGGTGTTTCTGCACAGGGGTTGAGGCCCCCGCTCCACAGGCTCTGAGGCAGTGAGGAGTCTTCGTCGTTGCAAGACATCTCAATACAACAGAAGCAGAACATCTGTTGAGAACATCTCATTCCAGCGGCAACATAACACCGGTCACTGCGGCTGCGCAGCTGCCTAGAGTACCAAACACAACCGCAATTCAGCGAGTACACATTCGCCTCTGGTTTCTGCGGATCCCTGAGAATACAAATTTCACGTGTGTTGCTCGCTGCCCACACGCCGTCCAGCGAGAGAAGGAGAGCCGGGGTTGGGTGTTTGTGGAGTTTCGCTCGCCATCCGGCAGGACGCCGTTCATTTTATCGTTGAATTCAACAACTGTTGCAAGAGCCTGGAGACGCAGTGACGTAGAAACGTGAACAAGGGAAAAAGAGGTGGGAAAACAGGACGCTAAGCACCCAGAGGTGCCTCAGCATTCCTAAAGACCTCTCCGTCATTGCATATATCCTCGTTTCGGTATCAAGGCCCAAAGATCATAGGCACGTGGGCTTACACGCACGCAGTCTGAGTCGCGTTGTATCTCCTCGTGCGTATGCGTGTATAGACAACAACCCCTTGCATCGGCTGACGCTGCTAGCCAGTGAAGCAGCTAGCCAGATACAACAAAAAGCATACGCCTGTGCGTATTGTTGTACCTGCAAGCGGAGTGACGATTGTTGGGGAGAAGCGCCTTACTTCTTCTCTCATTTCCTGTTGCTTCCTCTTTGGGGAGAAGCGCATTACTTTTCTCGTTTCCTGCAGCAGCAAGAACCGTTTCGGCTTTGCT